CTTGTGCCTCCTCTGGTTGTCTGTCACTTTGGATCTCTGGTGTGTGGTGTGGCAGCAGAGGGAAGGTTTGGCTGCTGCTCTTCACTGACAGAGCTCGTAGACCCAGGAAGCATCAACTCTGAAACACCTGTTAGAGGAGTGTCAGACTGAGGAGTACAGAAGTACAACAGAGCTCTTCCAACCTGGGATATTTAGGACTAGGAAATCAATTTTCTCCCCCAAAGCTGGAGTGGCTCTGAGTGTCTGGCACAAAGCTCCATGTATAGGTATTGCTCACAACAGCATGATCTCTCATCTGCATCTGGACCTTAGCAATTTTAGGGAAACTTTAGTGCTTTGTATCTGAAATGCTCCTTCTCTTTGGTCCTAGCAGTGAAGAGTAAAGCAAAGAGCATTGGTACTCCTGTGCCAAGCCTGCAAAACGCCATCAAGAAGCAGTCCCAGCTGTAGGCTGCCTCAGCACACAAGGGGGTCACAGCCACTGTGAGCAGAGGACAGCAGCACTTCTGTTCTGGTACCCACGGGCCTCATTCAGCCAGCTCTCAATCCACCTCCCTGTCTGCTCATCTAGCCTGTGCCTCCTCAGTTTCTCTGTGAGAATCTTGTGGGAGATTGCTGGTACAAGGCCTTACTGAAGCCTAGACAGACAATATCCCCACAGCTCTTCCCTCATCTACCAAGCCAGTGATTTCATTCTAGAAGGTTGTCAGGTGGGTCAAGCACAACTGCCCATGTGCAGATCCACACTGACAGCAATGTCGGTTTCAGGCCAGTACCTTTAATACAGTTTTTTGTCCTAAGCAGGTCCTTAGTGAGGACACAGCGTGGTGGTTTGGCTCTCCTATTGTTCCCTGGAAAAAATGTTGCTCTGCTCTTTCTTTAGGTGGGCCTGGGTGCTGCAAGATGCTTTGGGAATTGCCTTCTGTCTGTACATGCTGAAAACAATTCGCCTGCCTACGTTTAAGGTATGGAAGCTGCTCAGGTGTCCAAAGAGGATGTGTGCCTGTGTAGAGTTGGACAGAGGAGCCACTTAGAATGGGGTACCTTGGCTTGGAAAGTCATTTCCACTGATACGTAGCTTGCAAAAGAGTGACCTAATAAGTATAATGTGGACCCCCAAGTGGCATATGGATTTTATGCACAGTGTTGGGGAATGTAAAGTTCTGTAGAGCATTGACTGCTGGTAAATCAAACACCACACACTCACTTGTGGGGATTTTTTTGTGGTGTTTTGTTGGGGATTTTCTTTTTCAAATTTGATGCACAACTGATTCTGGTGTTTTTTCACATCTTCTAGAACTTGGCAGCATTCTAGGATAACAATCAGTATTGGTCCTTTAGTTGCCTCAAGGGCAGTTCTTTCAATTCTGTTTCGAGTTCTCTTCACCTGTAACTTTTGTTTCCTTGTACAGATTGGTCAAAGTAGTGTGGATGCTGCTGCAAGCTATGCATAGCATCCTCCAGAGAAAATGCAGAATTTCTTAAGATTTCATAACAGTTTAAAACAACACTATTTCCATGTTTTACATGATAAAGAATTTGAGGGACTAACATGTAATTTTGTGTCTAAGAATTACTTTCTTCAGTATGGTGCATGCGAGACCAAATTCCTTCATCTGAAATATTTAGGAATTAAGAAAAAAAATACATATGTGACTTGGTTTAGTCCTTGTTAACTTTTGCCTGGAATAATCTTGGATTGCCAATTATTAATTCTTCACTGTTTGCTAATACATACCTGTAAACACCAAGTACCATGTCTCTTCCCTCAGGGTTGTACGTTGCTCCTCCTGGTTCTTTTTGTGTATGATGTGTTCTTTGTATTTATCACACCTTTTCTAACAAAGGTAAGTAAAATACCTCCCTAGTGCCTGCTGCTCCCAGAGCAATGTGTAATGACCTGTTTTCTGGGTTCCTAAACGATTCCCAGAGCTGCTGAGTGAAGCACTGATTTACAGTTCTCTCCTTTTTTTCTTTAGACTGGGGAGAGTATAATGGTGGAGGTGGCTGCAGGCCCATCTGATTCTGCCACCCATGAGAAGGTACTGCTTGTAACCTGAAAATAAAGCACTAACTCACAGCTGCTGCACCCTCAACTTCTCTAAAATTTGAAGGCCACAAAGCTGAAGTGGAGGTGCCAGTCTGAAAATTTAATGTGGAAATAAGCACCCCTGAGCAATTTGGAAATCTACCTCAAATACAAAGAGGCAAGACAGACTTGTAGTGGTTCATCACAACAGCTTTGGCCTTCCCTTATCTTGCTTTAAGAGGGTTCCAGTACAAGGAAGCTGGCTAGCTCAGCTCACTAAAGTGTGACCACATTTGTAAATATAACTTATTGCTAATGAAGCATGTCCATTTTTGGCTAAGGAGATAAAACTTCCATGGTGAGTCTCTCTTCCCTCTCCTCTCCCATTTTGGTTATTGCTTTATGAAAAGCTGAGGCTGTAGGCAAAGGAGGGAAACACAAACTGGAGAAGGAGCAGGAGTCAGTGTTGAGTGGATCTGTCCCCTTTGACAGCAGCCAGCTGAATGCACTGAGCTGTACAACGTGATGTGCCTGATTTGAGGAGGAAAGTTCATGAGATGTAGGAGGGATTTGCTTTGCACTGTGCATCTCATTAAGAAGTTAATCTCTAAGAAAGCTGGTTTTGTTAATTTTAGGATATTAGCTCTCTTCAGCAATAACTTATGTTTTAGTCTTTGGTACCCCTTTAGTTTCAGTTTTATGGAATTGTAGAAAACAATGATGGTATAAACAGATAAAGTTACTCTGGCACTGACAGAAGTCAAGACAAAATTTAGTTTCTTTAGCACATTGTATTGAAGAGAATCTGTGTTTGCAATGAACCTTGCTGGAATGTGCCTCAGCACTGCAAATTATGGGATAAACAGGAAAACTTGGGGGGGGGGGAGTCTTTAAAGTTATTTGAAAAATTATGTTTTAAAATTATTCAAATCTTTACTCTTTTGAGACATTGCAACAAGTAGAATGAAATATAAATGGTTATTTCTTAGGCGTGTGGCAGCTTACCTGAATTTTTTGTGTTCCTGCAGTTAAAGCAGAGTTGATACCCTGCTGCATGTGAGGACTTAGGAACAAATAGTATCTTGAGATAGAGAGACAGACAGACAGACAGATTGATAGATAGATAGATAGTGTTTGTCATGCAGAGTTGTCTTGGCTGTTTGTTTTTAGAAAGTATTTCATCACTCCCATCTTAAATACATCATTAGCTGTCATTAATAATAATAAAAGATTTTCAGTATAAGGATTTGTAAGGTAAAGACCCATACATTTGCTCTGTTGGACGTCTGCAGTTTCAGGCACCAGGAGCAAGTTCTGGTGGATGTTTTCTCTGCACACTGGCACCTTCTCACAGGCGTGTGTCTCTCTCATCCCAAGCTCCCAATGGTCCTGAAGGTTCCACGACTCAACTCCTCCCCGCTGGCTCTGTGTGACAGACCTTTTTCTCTCCTAGGATTTGGAGACATTTTAGTTCCAGGTATTTCTTGTACAGCACGTTAAGAATTTTACTTGTTGCACTGTCATAGTAGTTTACTCCTCTTGTACTTATGCCTCAAGTGGGAAGTTTGATCTGACTACGATAAACCTGATCAATTTGTGAGTGTATTTTGTTGTTGTTTTTTTTCCTCCACTGTTCAATTTTTCCATAAGAAGTTAATTGCAAATTAATCTTACAGTTTGGTTTCACATGCAGTTATGTCAAGAAATGTGGAGAAATCTCAAGAGTTGATTTAGCAACTAATTTTATAGTATAAACATTATGTAACGATTTGCAACTAATTGCATGAAACATCTTTAACAGAGGAAATTATTTGTCAATTTGCACATGATTTGAGTATCCACATACCTGACCACTCAAAAGTTCATAAATTTAGTGACATAACATCCAGTGTTTCTACCACACCTCTCAAATTTGACTTCAGGCAGTATGTAGAAGTATGCCTGGCACCACTGTAGGTGGGGAAAAAAAGAACAGCAATTTCTGACTTTCAGATTTCTTTGGGGAAAATCCTCCCAAAAAGGAGGAGGGTGTCCCATCCTCCCCCCCAGCCTGTAACAGGCAGAGTCATTAACTTCTGCTGTGCTTACTAGGAGCTGGAAGGGGTGACCTTACCTTTATTCTCACTGCGAACACTTTTTGCAGCTGTTTGTTAGGGATGGGATGATGTTTTCTTCTGAGTGTATGTGTAGGTGTTAATTTTATTATTGGAGTGATTCTGTTGTGCTGGGTTTATATTATCTTCTAACTGTTTTGTAAGCTGTGCAGCCTCCTGGATGATGCTGTCACAGTACTTAAGCACTGACATGCTCAACTACCTGTTGGGATTAAAAACCAAAAATAAATCTTAAAAGTTCTTAGATAATTTTGATGGGTTTTTTATATCTTAATACATGGATGGGTTGGAAGCATTTTGTAATTGTTCTTTCCTTTCCTAGGCTTACTGGTGGCCTATTGCCACAGATTTGATATCCAGGTGCAGTCGTCCAGGGTCTATTTTGTAGCCTGCACAATAGGTATGTACAGCAGTGGTGCCTGGACACAACACCTGCAGGAGCTGCTCCCTTTGAAGCATCCCATCCATCTCATGTTACACAGTTTGGGGGTTTTATTCTTATTCTCCTTTTATTATTAAACAGAAATATTTTATCAAAGTACTTTTAAGGCTAGACCTTCCATCACCAAGTTACCTGATGTAACTCTCCTGAGCTGCTTTGTCTGCCATGGGTAGGGAGAGCTGCTTGTTACCATAGTTTGTCTCACTGTAACCCTTACATCTACACCATCTTTATACACAGCCACTCATTCTGGTTTCTTGATTCACAAATCTTTGGAGCTCATTGCATGTGATGATTCAAGTTCAAGGCTATCTTCCTTTGAATTTGTTCTTAACTTTTTGTGTATTCTAAAAATCCATGATCTGTGATGAAATGAAATGTGTTATGATGGCTCTAACACCTCTAAATTAGTTCTCTTTGGTTTGTGGAATCCACAGAGATACATGCCATGGACTTAAGGATGACTGATCAATAGGATCTTACAGATTTCTGTTGGCTTTGTTACAAAGTCTTTATGCAGTCATTGTAATGAAAATGTTCATTAAAAACTGCTGTAGAATTGTTTGGAAAAAAGTAGCTAGGTTCCTGGAGACTTCTAGAAGGGTTAGAGAGATGCTGTTATTTCAGTGTACCAAATATTAAGTAATTTCCGTTTGGATACATTTGAAAGAAACTGTTTTACCTGGTACTTTTAAAAACATTTGCAGAAATCAATTGAAAAATGTTCTATTGTTAGTAAGAGTCAGCAGTGTATTTTTGGAGCAATGGCAGCTAAGCACATACAGGGCTGTGTTAGCAAGGTCAGGTCAGCAGCATGAGAGAAGTGATTATTCCCCTCAATTTGGCAGTTAACACTGAGTCTGAACCAGGATCCCTGGTGCAAGGCAGACTTTGACACAGTGGAGTAAATCCACTGGAGGCAGAGAAGATGGCTGAGGACTGGAGCACATGATTTCCAAAGAAGAGAGGAGGTTCTTCTCCTCACGTGAGGACAAGACAGACTCTTCTTCCAGGTGTGCAGGGGTTATATATAAGGAAATGGATTTAAGTCACAAGAAGAAATATTTCAAGTAGATATAAGGAACTCTCACCAATAACATAATATGCCCTGAGGAAAAAAAAACCCACACTTTTTTTAAGAACTGTAAAAAGATGAGTATTCTAATCATGGAGTCCTTTACGTTGGAAGATCATCAAGTCCAACTGTTAACTACTGAGTTAGAGCAGCAGTGCCAGGCCCACCACTAAACCATGTCCCTCAGCACCACATCTACATGGCTTTGAAATCCCTCCAGGGATGGGGACTCCATCACTGCCCTGGGCAGCCTGGGACAGGCCTTGACAACCTTTTCAGTGAAGAAATCCTTCCTAATGTCCAACCTAAACCTCCTCTGGTGCAACTTGAGGCCATTTCCTCTTGTATCAGTTTTTCTTGGGAGCAGAGCCTGACCCCCACCTGGCTCCAGCCTCCTTTCATGGAGTTGAGAGCCAGAAGGTCTCTCCTGAGGCCTGCTTTTCTTCAGACTCAGCAACCCCTGCTTTCTCAGCTGCTTCTCTCCAGAAGCAGCTTCTCTCTCTTGTGCTCTAGACCCTTCACCTGCTCAGTTGACCTTCCTTGGACATGCTTCAGCACTTCACTGTTTTTCTTCATCTGATTCCTAAAGAAAAGTCTGTTGAATTCAGCTTTATTGTTCTGAAGATGTCACTGAGAATAATTACAATATGAGATCCTAGCTGCTTCTGTTCTACTTTAATAATTTTGGAGAATATATGCAGAAATTAAATAGCAAGTAATAAATTACAACACAGAACTGACTTGCTTTGGAGATTTTTTAGTGATGTTGCAGCATGATAAGGAACAACCAAAACCAGGTCAAAGAGGAAGTACATGTTATAGTGGTCAAGATAATTGACTGTAGCTGTTGAGTTCATAAATGCCATATGAGGCACAATGCTTCATTTTTTTTTTTTATTTAGTCTTTCTCAAACTGCTTCAAGTAATGATTTAATTGCACAGTATGGACTAGGTTGATCACACAACTTTCACAATGTGTTATCATCAAAAGCCACCAGGATCTCTGTTCATCACTGCTCCAAGCTTATGTTGTGTATATAATGCTTGTGTCTAAAGAGGCCTGAAAAAATTCTGAAGATGTCATTTTACATATTACTTGAAAAAAAAAAAATCCCTGTTAGAATGCTCCTCTAGCTCATTATTTCATTGTTCTCTCTGAATAACTGGGGCTTGCTGCTTTTGTTTCCTCCCAGCATATGGCATAGGCCTCCTTGTGACCTTCGTGGCCTTGGCACTGATGCAGATGGGGCAGCCTGCCCTCCTCTACCTGGTGCCCTGTACTCTCCTCACCAGCTTGGCTGTGGCTCTCTGGAGGAAGGAGCTGGCAATGTTCTGGACGGGCAGCGGCTTTGCGGTGAATACCAGTTTGATATGAGTGTCTCCAAGAAATACTAATGTTATAAAAACCTAACTAGAATTAAAGTTGAGTAAAACATTGCAGTATTATCCAACAAAGCCAAAGATTTTTGTTTTCCTTGGTTCTTTGCTTTTTTATGGACTTCTTTGCCTTGACAGAGTTTTCTTTTTTTAATGTTTAGGGCCACTTTGGCTAGTGAAAAGTAAAGTAGACCTTGTCTGTCCTTCTTGATTCTGCCATGATTTTGTTTGATCTCTGCTGAAAGTATTGGTTTTAGTAGCACTGAAATATTATATAAAATACAATGGTTTAGGGATAGATTTTATTTAATATTATAAAATGTTTTTTCTTCATATTTTTTCATAGCCTACTGCTTGTGAAGGTAGAAATCCAATTTGATATAGTGAATTATCACTTTGTGTCACTGTGGTACAAGTGAAATTAACTTCACCCCAATAATAATTTCTATTATGATGCATGATTATAGAGTTTGAATCATTACTTGAAGGGCAAATCTATCAAGCTAGAGGTTCCCCTTCAGTTTTATATTGTTCTTTAATGACTTGTGATAACCTTTGCAACTTTGCTCTAGAGAACTGAATTTAATTGTTGGAAAAATATTTGTGGAAAAAATTGTTGTGCACTGATAGCAAAGTTGGAAAGCCCAGAGAATGACAAAGAACTAAAGTGTTCTTTGCCTGTTCCTGCACAGTCAGCAGAGCATGTCTGAGCCCAGTGAGGAACAGTCAGGCAGAAAGCAGCTATATGTATTTCTGGGAGAAAAAATCCCCTTATGTGCTATAAAACAGAGGCAGGGCAACTGTACCTGTGTCCACTGCTAGGGAATGATCATGGAGATGATTTTTAAGGTCCCTTCCAGCCCAAACCATTCTGTGAATCTCTGATGAACCTTTACCCTTCATCTCATATGACCATCACTCCTGGTAACAGTAATTCTTTGTTTCCATCATTCTGACTGTGATCTTCTATTTACAGAAGGACCTACCTCAGCCTCCCTTGGTGATAGCTCCTGTCAACTGCCCTGAGCTTCCCAAAGACAGCAACGTGCCAGCCTCTCAGCAAGATACAGAGCAAATGACCAATCCCACCCTCCATGTGAAGGAGTTGCATGGCCCCACCTCAGCTGCAGAGGAGCTGGCTGATAGCAACACACAGACAGACCAGTCAGAAATTTCTATTGCACAGAGTGAGGAACCAGCTGGTCAGAACAAGGATGACCTTGAAAGCAAATGCCTCAAGGCAGAGCAAGACAAGCTGCAATAAACAATGTAATAGGAACTCCTTGTTCACTCTCACAACATGTCCATATAAAACCAGTATGTATTTAGGACTGGTTTAGTAGTGTTTGCATTCATTGAGGAGCCTCACTGGGAGTCTGATCATCAAATCCAACAACGAATGTTCTGCCTCCAGCTTCAATACAAGCTACACACTTCATCTTTCTGAAATATGGTGCTCTACAAAGGTTCTGATGTGTGGATTCCAATGATCATTTTGTTAGTGAATGCCTCTGACCGTTCCATTTCCAGTATACCAGGGTAGTATTAAGAGTCTTTATTTACAGTGCTCTGCTCGTGTGGCTGTTTTGCTGCTTCAGCATAGTGTAGGTTAAGGGGGAGGAAGAGCATTGACCAAGTCTTGCTGCAGTGCTTAGTTGGGAGAAACATGATAGATTTTTAGCACTTTCCCTGCTGTCACCTGTTCGTTTACTTTCTCTCCGTGTCAAAGCTGTTGATACAAGGGAATGCTTTAGTATAAACTGACATTCAGGAAATGCAGAGAATGGTTAAATTACCAGCCTCTGAAAGGATTTTTACTACTGTGGTGCATTAAATGCATCTCTTAACCTTTTGTCTTTTGTTTTTACTTCCAGGTACCTGGGTTGGCTACTTAGGCTAGTTTAGAAAGCAGGATGACTGGAGGTGCAAGAAGCTGTCTGAGCACTCCTATGGACTGTAGGGGCTGTCTCTGAAAACAAAGTGTTTGCCACAGAACAGGAGAAGCAAAAACCTATTCAGAATGTTTAATGTTTTAGAAATAAAATACAAGCCAAATAGAAAATAGGCAGTAGCACTACACTAAGCTTAATAGGCAGTAGTTTGTTGGGGAAAATGTTAAAGTAAAGCAGTAGAAGTTCATACATTTGAGGTTTTGAGCTTCTACTCTATTTGTTTAAAGAATATAGTTGTGATTTCTGATTCTGAAGAAAATGACCTGGTGGTTTCATTCCCCATGGAGCCCATATGGTGCTATAGTCAGTGGTGATTTAAAGCTACGTGCTGTTCAGGAGCTGATCAGCTGCCTCAGCCACCTTTTGTCTGTCTCCCACGAGCAGCCAAAGCATGGCCTCTCAGGTTTTGGAATGAGGCTGGGATCTAGCCCATTATTTTGTACCTCTTGCTACATGATGTTGTGAAGGACTAAATTTCTGAATTTAAAACCTTCTGGGGTGCAGCTGGTCTTACTTCATATTCCTGAAGTTGTTTTCCTGTAACGTGGCTGAGTCTTCAGTGCATCAACTTCAGTACACACAGAGAGATGATGTGGTTTGCATTATTTACTCCATCTAAGAAAATTTGCCCTTATCAAAGTTGTCTGTTCTACACTGAAATTGCAGTCCTAGAAACCCTCAAACGCTTCATATCCAACCTGAAATAAAAAATGGAAGTATTCTAGGATCCTGGAATACAATTCCAAATTACTTCAGAGTTTTTCTGAGGCAAAAATGTAATTTAGGAAAGTAGCATCACAGTGGCACAATCAGAGGCAATGCTTTTAAATTAAGAGTGTCCAGTTGGCGTGCTGAGTTGGACCCTGAAGGGCTCTTTTAATGTCTGTCTGTTAAATTTCAGCCACTCTCTTTTGGGCTGTGTCTTCCAGCAGTCTGGCCTGTGCTTTTGGGGTGATAACTTTTGCGTTTCTCTCACGTTGGGTGGACAGTGTTCTTTCCCCAGGATGTGAGAGGCTGGCAGTACAATCCCACTGCAGCCTCAGTTTTACCAGCTTCTGCATAAAGCCTGGAGCCCTGTCTGATGAGTTGGTTTAAAGGTGAGTTTCCTGAGACCAAAGGCCTGCATTACATTTAATTTACAGGTGACCCTAATGGAACTTAGTAGCACTAAAAGAGATCTGTTTTTCCATCTCCTCTCTGATGGACTGTGTTACTTTTGCCAGCAGTAATCTGAACCAGTTATTACTAATAAAAAGCAACAGAGACATTTACAGAAAACTTCAGCCAGCTGGATTATGCCTTAATTTAAGCCATTGTATAAGTATATATATTAAATTAAGGAAAAAAAAATGCTGTGTTTAAATCATGGACTTGACAAATGGCAAGAAAACATGTTTGGAGATTGACTCAAAGTTCCTTTTTTTTTATTTTCTTGATTGTCTTTCAGTCACACTGTTATTTGGAATAGCTTTTTCTATACTTAACAGCTCGTAGCTTTCTGATGATGAAGCATTATGTTGAATCATCTGTTTGAGTGTATTTTAACTTTTGTTCTCGTATGTTGTGGGTTAGGAAACAGTTTCTTTCTCAGATTGTTTATAGCTCAATTAAAACAGAAGAATTCGTAACACTTCACTTGTAGGCACCTAACAGTGGCTTTGTTTGTTGGGTTCCAGATGGGTCTGCTTGGAGCCTGTGCTTCACCTCATGTTTTGGGGGGTTCCATCTATTTTTAAGTGTTATTTTTGCTTGGGTTTGGCTTTTTGTTTTGTTTTTGTTTTGTTTTGTTTTTCCCCAGCTATGAAGATCAGTGCAGGACAAACCCCAACACCTGAAGTGCAATATCTGCAGTTAAAGTGTGCAGGATGGCAGGACTCCCACACTTTGACTGGTGCAGTACTGTACAGGTGGTGTGGCTCTGTCACACCAGTTTGGCTGTGACTGTTTGAACCCTGATCCTGGGTGGTTCAACCACTTCTGTCAAACCCCACAGCTCTCAGTTTCTGCCTTTCAAAAACCTCCCTGACCAGCTTAATATAAAACCTCACGTTGTATACAGAGATGTGAGGATATGTTCAGTGTGGCTGAGTTACTTTATCTGATGGTTGCAGATCTCCATCCCCCACCACACGAGTTCAAATGCACAAAGTAACATTAAAAGTAATGTGGATGCACTTTTTGATTGCATCTTCCACATACCCCAAGCCTTTAGCTATCTAAAAAGTCAGTAATGAGGATTCTATGTCTGAAGCCTCCTGTGTGTTCAAAGGAAGCACTTGTTTTAGTTAAAAAAAGCAGCAACTAAATCCACTAAAAAAACCACTAACAAAAAAGGAAAGCAAGAAGGAGGGGGGGAGAGTAAAAAAGCTCCAGTAGAGTGAGACTCAGATTCTGTCCCAGGCTGCCCAGGGCAGTGGTGGAGTCCCCACCCCTGGAGGGGTTTCCAAGCTGTGGAGATGTGGTGTGAGGGACACGGGGCAGTGGGGACCTGGCAGCTAGCTTAATGGTTGGACTTTATCTTCTTAAAGTCTTCTCCAGCCTGAACCATTCTATGAAATGCAGCTGAGGATTGAATGCCAGGTGCAAGAGGGGGACAAGTAAGGGAGACATATCCCAAACCCTCTTTTAATCTGGAGGAGGTTTTTTTTGTCTTGTCCCAACTGAAGAGCATTTGAAATGAAATACATAAAAAAAGAAACAGAAAAAATATATTCCAAAATCTATTCTGGTTTTACCAGGGTAGTAAAGAAGAGCATACCCACACATGGATGAGTTGTACTTGGGAAAATATTCAATGTTTTCTCTAAACTCAAGACAAGTGCCAGGAAGGAGGAAATCTGCAGCATGGCATCTTCTCCAAGGGGTTTATTAAGAGGTGGAACAGAAAAGCTTCATTTAGAAAACTGATGGTTTCACTTTTTTCTTCCTTTTATACTAACCCTGCCAAATTTGTTGCCCATTTTATGTGATGTCTTGATCAGTTGAGGTTTTTCTTGAGAAGCTGCTCTTCCTTAGGGTGGCTCTGGGTGTGTTTGGTGACAGCACACACAGCTCTGTGTCTCAGGTCTGGATCTTGCCTCTGAGGTGCATCCCTTAGGCTGGGAAGGGGGAATGGCAGTGCCTGTGGACCTGTGTGCTGGGAAGCAGCACTAGCTGGGGAACCAGAAGGAAGCTGGTGAACCCTACTGGAATGACCCCACTGTGAGCTTTCAGAGCATTGGCTGTTGCTGTGCTCTTTGGGAGATGCTGTGTGCTCACCCCCAGCTCCTACTTCGTTCTCTAGTGTCTGATGGGCACCAGAATGCTTGGAGAATACTTTTATACTTTCACCACAAACCACATTCTCCTGCAGGTCCTTGCTTTGAAAGCTCTTTCCAAACACAGCACTTGGGTCCACATCTGCTCCGTGTCTCTCGGATATCTCGCCCTACAGCTTGTAGAACTTGTTCCTGGCTGCACAACTGTAAAAGAGGGAGAGAAGCCTCTGTGGGGTGTTTGGTAACAGCATTGCCTTGGTGTCAGTGCTTCCACAGAGCTATTTTAGTGTGAAATCCTGCAGTTGTGTTCTTCTATTTCTCCTTTAGCCCCATGGTTGGGCAGTGCATATATGTCATGGTTTAGGGTCAGGACCACCCCCAGAGCAGTAACGGATGCTCTCTATTAACCCCCTGCCCCCTAAAGGGAAAGAGAAAGAGAATAAGGGAGAGAACCTTATTGAAAAGTGAAACAGCTTTAATACTACCACTAGTAATAATGATAATAAAATGGAGTATGTAAAATATATGCAAGCTCAGCATGGAATCAGCTCCCCCCTGTGGCAGTGTCACCGTCCCCTGGCTGGGGAGCAGCCCTGGGGAGAGGGTCCCAGACAGGAGCTGGACTCTGGAACTCGGTTCAGGAAGGGAGATGGGAGGGGCTTGACCCTCGTGATCCTTCAGCTTTTACACTGAATCTGAGGGATATGGGATTGAAAACCCCACTGGTGAATTTTAGGGTCACTTTTCTTGTCCACTCCTCCCTGCAGGTGCAGCTTTACTCTCTGCCCCCCTCCATGGGGTACCCAGGCTCAGCAGTGGCCTCGGTCTGCACCCCAACCCCTGGCAGTGGCTCTAAACCCAGAGTGTTATCCCTGCCAGAAGCAGCAGCCTGTGGGGACACACTGCCAGCCTCAGACAGTGCAGGGAATGAGGAGAGCTTTAGCTGAAAAGGAAAATCATTGAACAGAACCAGCCCTGTTCTACCCCAAACCAGGACAATACACTTCCAGTGCCTTGCACGACAGTGGCTGTTCAGGATGCCAAGCCCCATGAATTCCTTTTTAATGCCA